AGACAATCTTTGGCCTCAGTCTGAAACTGCACAGAGCTTTTATGGCACACAGAATCTCAGACCGACGTCCTGCAGCAAGGGAGGAAGCCCTGCAGTACAGCAAAGCCACTGGAAGGCTCTTACAAGGTTACTATTTCTGCCACACTATGTATAGCTGTAAGGAGCAGCCTCTGAGAAGCTTTACCATCCAAGGAAACCCAGCTACCATGTCCCACTAGCATAAGCACACTGTGAAGAGAACAGCCCCGGGAGACCAGAGCTAGCCAAGAGAAATTTAGGATACTGCAAGTGTTAAGCCCCAGTTTTGATAATGCTTGATGACCAATTTCAGCCCCTCCTTAGTTACACAGGTTTCAGTTCACAGCTGTGGTGCAGCTATGAGGGAATTCTCAGGACAGAGGGAGCATCAGCCCCCACGGCCAGGGCTGACCTCATTAGCTGAGCTGACCTCTCTGGGGCTCACTGGCCTCAGCAAAGCCTCCAAACAACCCACTCAGCACTGAAAACAAACCTTCCCCTGCAGGAGGATTATGTAAACGTGGACGTTTCCTGCTCAGAGCAGCCTCAAAGGTAAGGACAACTGCATACAGGTACTCCTGACCAAAGAGCTTTGCAGGAGCTTCTAGTACAGAAGGAAACTTTCCTCCCCACTGCTATGGGCCCCGAGACCATTCCCCCCTCCTGTAGAATTGGCTGGCAGGGCTTACAACATCTACTCATTCCATGATATTTTTGTGAACTTGTAATTCATCCATTAAAAAACAAAAGCAATGTAAAACACCCAAAGCAGCAATCAAAAGTTCCCAAGAATCTCCAAAGCACTGAGTGGCCAACTGCAGCCGTTTCACTGAGCCCATCCAATATCTTTTAACAGAGTTGGAGAACACAGACTGGTTTGTTTAGGTTTTTTTTCCTTTCTATTCACCTGCACCCTGGCTGCTCATTCCCCTCGTGCTGTTTGTGAAGACAAAGAGATCATTAAACAAGAGCAGCCTGTGTCTACCTTGTAATTTCAACTCTCTCTAAGGACCCTCTGAAGGCGCTCGCCCTGACAGTGCCTCGACTGCAGCCCAGCCCCGAGCCGGCTGAAGATTAGCCAGCCCAGCTAATGCCAGCCCACATAATGCCAGCCCAGCTAAAGCTGTGGGGGCAGCCGTGGCAGGACCCAGCCCTGCACACGCTCATCACCCACGCGCTTCACCTCCCGGGCCCGCCTGGCTTGAGCTAACCTTGGGAACACAGCAGGAAGGAGGAACATCTCTCCCTCCTTCACCACATATGAGGAAACAGCTCTTAAGCTCTTATATCCATCCAAGTACGTAATAAGAAACTACTGTGACTGGGATTTCAGAAGGAGCAGCCTCATCTGAAAAAGGGGGAAATCTGCCACCAGCAGGAGTTCTTTGTGTGCTTCACGTTTCATGTGGTGTCAGAGCAAAGCTGCTTGTCACTCCTCGTGGTGCCACTCACCCCTGCAGCAACACATTTCATCTGTTCCCACCTCCCTCTGCACCCCCTGGCCGCAGGGAGACGGCTCCCAGGGGTGACTGCTCCACCTCCCTACCCTTATGTGGGGCTGCTGTGCAGCTGCACCACCATCCCGACAGCTACTGTCACAAAACTCTGTCCCTTCTCCTCCTCGTTCTCCCAGAAAGCCTTTCTTTGAGAGAAAGGCTGAGATTAAACAGGCACTAGGATTCAGGTTTTGAAAATGGACCCACCTCTACTGTCCCCACCTCCACTGTCCCCTCATTTTAACCTCATCTGCTTATCACTTCATGAACACCAATCTGCAGAGCTTTGGGCATGTCGAGATTTATCTCCCTGCTGTCCCACGAGACCTAATGCCTCCTGAATGTCCATTCATCCTTGTGCATCCCCTGGGGACAAAATCAGGGTCAGAGCACTATGAGAAGATTGACAGACAACCATTTTATGAAAGCCTTTCCAAGGGGAAAATGTCTGCAAAACATCTCTTACACTTAAAAATGACACCAGTTCATGTTTCCTACAGTTCTGACAGGTCAGCCAAAGACATATTTTTAAATATATATAAAAAATATAAATACATACTCCATGTTTCATACAATATTTTAATCTTATTATATGCTCATTGTCATATTATTTCAACATCTATATACGGTTTTAATAAGTATTCATACTTAGAATAACATATAGTGATATCTTAAATATCTCTATTTTATTTAAAGGCCACATTTCAAAACCCCAACCAGCTGTGTTGAAAAAGAGAAGAGTGATTTTTACAGAAAGTGGCCTTTGCCTCTTCAAAGCTGGGATTGTCTGCTGGGAATGTTCTTTTGGGTCTTAGAAAGCTTTAGGACTTAATTTTAACTTTGTTTCTTTGCTTTGCTCTTCAATAGAAAACATTTTCTTGGCAGACACAGATTGTCTCTCTCAGTAACACTGAGTATTCATATCCTCAAAAAAACCCTTTTCTTCTACTTTAACATGTATTATACAGAAAAGAAAACCCATTTGTGTTCCATTTCTCTAGAGGGACTTTGCCTGTATCAGAACTAGCTCCTTCTGCAGCACTGCTCCCCAGCCACACATTCCCTGTCCAGTGCCTGTGCATCCACTAACCCCTCACACCACAGAGTACTGCACTTTTCCTTCCCCTCCTAGGAAGTGTTCTCCCACATCAGATTCCTTTCTCCTTTTATCTGTAACATTTCATAGCATGATTTTATTCCAGTGCATTTACTTGTTTAACTGCAGCCTTCTCCAATTTCTACTTCCACACCTTTCATGTCCTCTAGCCACATTTAACACTCTTCCTTGGATTCTAGGCCTGTTAACTATGCAGACCCAAACTCTGAGGGACTGAGAGCCACAGAGACAAACCCTCACCCCAGGAGGTCTCACTTACCAGCAGAGTTCACTCAGCTCTTCCTTCTGCAAATCCACAGTTTGCAGTTTTGCTCCCTGTGTTCTAGACTGCAGCTCTCCAGGAGTGGATCTGCAATGACTTCATCTCTCCTTCCTTTCTCTGTGTTAAAAGACCAGTAAATCCTTCAGTGTCCTGCTAATAAAAAGGCAGGTGCTCTGCAGGGTTGTTTGCAGCCCCTGCAGTAAGACTCCACATGAGTTTCCCCAAATGGTTACCCCCATATGATGCTCCCCTCTGTTTCTTGCACTAGCACAGAGATGAGGCACAGCCTGTGTGCCACCAGCCTAGCTGGGGACCTTGTACAGTCCTTGGCAGGTCTACACACTCACTAGCAAACATCATTCTCTTGTGAGAATTAGATTCCAGCCTGACCCTTGGAAGGATGGCCTGAGAGAAAAAAACTCCCACTCCTGAAGGACACGTGTTCCTGTGGATGGACAGGACTGACAGCCCACAAGACGACCGAGCGCTCATGCAGCCACATTAAATAGGGATATGATACAACAGCAAGGAAGTTTTTGGCCTTTATTTCAAGGCTTTTAACAGTTACAGTAGGAATTGTCATTGCAAACCAGAAATTTAAAAAAATCGAACAATAAAAGTTAAAAAAACATCCACAAGTCCACCTGTAAGTAAGACATGTTGGTACAGAAAGGAGATGTGAGCTTTTGCTTCTTCCATTCTCTTAATTTTGCAAATATCTGGTAGAACAAAGACACTAAGAAAGGCTGGATGCTATTGGAATTGCTCCAGCAGGTGAGCATTTAACAGCATATACTGTACCAGTCTAACAGAGTAGCTATGTTACCTCCATGGGTTTGAGTTGAGCTTACTGTTGTCATTTTCCTCCAAAGCAAAAAGACATTAAAAACCAGATTATGCCAAGATATCTATAATGTGGTCACAAGTTGACTCCATGAGTTTGTCCCCATTCTATTTCTAACTCCTCTTGGTAGCAAAGAAATGATGTCAGCAGCTGGAAATGTGGCAGCATTTGACTTACAAGAGCGTGGTTCCAGTTCAGTTTCATCTCCCACGTCCACACATCAACAGTCTCACCAGGCCCCCCAGCAGCACCTCTGACTCGTTGCTCTCTCAGCACAGGATATTTGCTCCCTGTGCTAACAGAGATCAAAACTGACCTCATGCAATCCCTCTGCTGGCCTGGGTGCTCCACAGCTCCACACCTGCAGCCCTGGTAGGAACAGACCTGAAGCAACCAGGTCCCAGCGCCCAACTGGGCTGCAAAGGGCAGACACCCACCAAGTCCTCTTCAGATCCAGCCAGGTACTGCTGCTGCCTTTTGCTTTGAGTTGCTGGAATAATGGAATATTTAGAGTCGAAAAAAAATATGCTTCCAACCTCAAAGCATGTAAGTAATGGGAAAGAAGATTTTATGTGCATCAAAAGCCCTGCTCTACGTCTGCACCTCTGTGGTCCAGCACCAGTAGTACCATCAGGCAATGCCAGCCCTTCCTGGTAAGGGACCCACAGAGCACATCAAGGCCTGGGAGAGGCGTTTCCAGCACCAGAGAGAAGCCCTGCAGGAAACACTCCCAATTTCAAGGTTACATTCATCACAGAAGCACCTCTCTGAAGGTGCTGCTCTGTGCACGCTTCTGTGGCAGTGACATTTCAGCTCATATGCAACACCTCGAATGAAAACAACCAAGTTTACAATCAATCTGCTCCTAGAGACTGGTGACAGATGCTATTAACTTCTTGCTTACAACCACCAGTGTTTTAGCCATTTTAAAATGCTTTAAACACACTTAGTGTGCCAGCATTCCTGAAACACAGCCTCATACTCACACCAAAAACACACCCATGTCTCATCCACTTGTGGGAGGGGAAGGAAAAACAAAAAAAAAAACCTTGAAAACTCAAAGAACTCCAGGAATGGTTTCCCCCAGCACACTCTGAGGGAAGTTTCAACATGACTGCTACTCGAGTTAGCAACGACTGTGACTAGGACTGGAGCATGACAGCTGATATTGCAGGTCCTGCAAGCTTCATCATGAACACTACCACGAATTTCAGCTTTGCCTGATTGTATCTGAAAGCACGAGAGACTCCAGCAGACGTGACACTCTTGAAATACAGAACTTTATTTAAAACTGCTTAAAATAGAAAAACCCTGTCAAGAAAAATCCAAGTCAAATATGGTTTCTCAATAAAATGGAGGTTTAGGGCAACAAAAGTCTGAAAGGCCACAGAGAAATAGCACCACTGCAGTTTTAAACAATGGCTAGATACTTGCATTTTTGGCATTCACTGAATTTGGGTTTTTCCTCGGAATTTCACAAAGATTCATGCACTACACAACAATTACCATAAAATGCTCTCCTACGCACATCTCAGGACAAGCTACCACCAGAAACAAATGAATACAAGCACAACAGGACTGATCAATCTCAGTAGTGAAGGGGGATCAGAAGTCTTGCAGGATCTTGCCAAACACAACAGTAATGAGGGGCATGAGAGCAAAAAAGGACAGTTAAGGAAAGAATTTAAATATTAATATTTAAGTTAGTCTCAGTACTGTATTTTCTGCAATAACATTAGCTCTGTTAGCCAGCATCTTTTAGTTTTTACCCCAGATGACTACCAAACTGGCAAGTATTGTTATTAGATTTGCCCTGGTTCAAAAGGAAATTAAAAAAAAAAAAATAAAAATTAAAGAGACAGAAAATTCATCATCCTCATGTGCTCAATTCACTTTCATTCTAAGATAGCTGCACAGTGCAAGTTATTACACTGTTACAGCTACTGGACTTGATCAGCATTCCTTGGGATGGGAAAGAGAAAAGAACAAGTGAGACCAAGCAGCATATCAACGAAAATAAAAAGAAACAGGACAAATAGAAACAAAAGCCAGGAAGGAGAGTTACTTCTGAAGAACACTGTAGGCAGTAAGACTGGACGTCCTTTGCTTTTGTTGGTTTTTTTTTCTTACAGAAAACACAGTACATTTTGGCAAAGTCATTAGCCACAATGCCACAGAAAAAGGCTTTAGCACTCTTCAAGGTAATTTATGTGTCTCAGCTGTTCATACTCCCTCTAATCTTGTGACAGGCAACATTAAGGCCTATTTCATCGAGAACTAATCACTTAGTAAGCAGCTTTACATAGGAATGGAGTTTTGTTTTAATAGCCCCTTTTGAGCACTGGCTGACAGGGAGGTTGCTACGCAAGGCCTCTCAGACAGCAGTGAATGGAGTTAAACAAACGTCTACCCCAAAATGAAGCACATAAAATCTCCTGTCACATTACTTCAATTTGGCATATGGAAGCATATTTTAAATACTCTTAAGGCATTTTATTATAATTTCTGTGCTGCAATTTCACATTAACTCAATCTTCCTGTGAGTCAGAGTCTAATTTCTCTACCACACGCCACCTTAGATACAAAAAGAGTCTCCCCACAAACCAGTGTTTTACCAGCAAACCATTCTGCAACAAGGTCCAAATATTCAGCCTCTTGCTCCCTAAATATACCACCTAGATGCAAATACTGCTCTGCTACAAAGTGAGAATGAGCTCCTAACTCAAACCCACTGTGAAAAGTGAAACTTCCGCAAAGTGCACTTTAAGAAGAGGTACTTTTTTTGCTTATGAAAAGAAACCAGTGAGTCCTCTAAGAATAAAGTGGAGTATTTTACAGTTAAGCACATGATCTGGGGCAAAGAATTCTGATGTTGCTGCTCTGCTGGTACAGTATGTGGTCTGTTAATACTCTTCTTGTTCCTCCTGCGGCGCTCCTTCGTCAGGTATCACAAAGCCTTCCTGAAGGGGAACAAAACAAGGGCTTTAATTAAAGTCTGATGTCAAACCAGTTCCTGGCTACTACGTATGCTTTTTATTCTTTTTTCCTTTTACTTAGGATAGATACCCTTAAGTCCCCATTTACAGGGTCAGCTTATATTACCAGAAGAGTTATTTTCCTCATCTTTGATCTATTTGTTATGTGCTCTTCATGACAGGCTAACCTTGTCTGCTGCCTGACTATACTTATGTTATCTGTTCCTTTATTACAGGAAAAAGCTAGGCCATAAACCTAAAGGGGAAAAAAAAAATAACCAACCAAGCAGAAATAGAGGGAGCCCTGGAAAGCAAACCAGCTTCCAATTACAAGGGGAGGGAGGAACCAGACAATTTATACCAGATTACTTACATCTGTGGCATAAAGGATTTCCACAATCCTCTGCAGCACTGGATCGTTCTCCCCTTCATTCTCCTGGCAGATCAATTCAATGTTCCTCAATTTGCCAAAGTAGAAGTCTCTCTCCTTCTCCAGATCTTCAACAGTAAGTTTCAATACGTTGATCTGCCAAAGGGCATCAGTAATAATTTACCCACTAAGAAGATAATTCAGTAGAACCCATTCAAAAGACAGAGTCCCCAAAGTTCTCAGAAGGGTGTTAATATGCAAAGCATTTCAAAAGTACCCAAGATGGGAGGTGGGAGGAAGACTGTGAGAGGAGGAAAAGATCCATTTCTCAAATTGTCATGTTATTGCCACAAAACCCAGGCACTGCCCCTTGGGAATGCTGCGGGCTTACTCCAGGGGGTGGGGAAGGCCCAGACGTTCCCTCGCGACGACCCCCGGGCTGGTGGCACTTTTAGCTGCACCCTTCAGGGTCTCAGCAGAGCAGCAGCTGCTCGTGGCTCGGTCGGAATGCTGCGAGAGCTGCCACACAGCTGTGGGAGTCCTTACAGACACTGCTATGTGTGCTATGGCACACCCGGGCGGGAGCGCCTGGGCACGCGCGTGCGGCGGGAGGGGCCGCGCTCCCCTCAGGACACCCAGACCACTATAACCAAGGCTTTGAATTAAGTGATTTTAAACGAGCTTACTAGTTTCAGATCATTTTCTTCCCCCTGCCTGATGCAGCCACCTCATGCCATTAGAGCCCCCCTGCAGAGGCAGCCCCCCTGGAGAGGCAGCCCCCCGAGGCGCAGGCCGGCAGCCGGGGCCGCTCTGGGCACACACCTGCTCGATCAGCCCGGCCGACTCCTCGTCCCCCCCGGCCTTCTTCACCATCCCAGCACCAGGTTTTGGAGCTGCTGCAGTCCTCTGTGTCACAATGGGCCTCTGTGGGGCTGCAAGAGGGAATCGCTGTTAGTTCCTCTCAGAACACCTTCCTTTGGCCTGTAAAAGTTCTATCCCCCTTCTGAACCTGCTCAGGCAGGGAAGAGTCTGGAGACACGTTCCTCCATCTTCACTCCATGTGACATGTCCAGTTTTTTTGGGCACATGTCAGCATTAATCTTTGCCATTTGCTCTTTTAGAGAAAATTGTTCTTTCTGCAGCTCCCAGATAACTGGGTACTACAGGACCACTCAGTGTTTGAAGTCGAGCATCTCAGAAACAAGATGCTCTAACTTCAAGCACTGCAACTACTTCATACACTGATATTAAACAGCAACCCAGCCCAATTTTCCCCAGAGTTTTTAACGATCTAGATAATCTTTTAACTCTTTTCTCTACCTGCACTGCTAGAAGTGAGAGATTTCTTGGGTTTGTTCACAATTGGAGCAACAAGGTTTGGTGCTACCGTCTCCTGGCCTTGCCGAGCAGCCACGGGATCATACTCCTTCCCATCATAGTTGGCATCAAAAAACTTTTTGAACCATTGAACAAATTCAAAGTTGTCCTGAAATTTTCCTTTCACTAGTTTGTCCACAGGAATTATCTGAAGGAGGGGAAAACAAACAAACAAAAGTCAAACTCAGATAAAGAGAAAGGGAGGGTTTTATCCTCAATATAAGTAGTTTTTACATTAGTGCACTTAAAAGATAAATGTAATTCCTTGTCCAGTCTAGAGAAAATCCTACGTGGACAGAACTGTAGGTCAAATAGCACAATTTTTTTTGGCAATAACCGCAATTAAAACCAAATCATGCTTTCACTGTGAGGGTCCCCATACCGATTTTAAATAATTCTGTCTCAAAGCTTTCTACACCAAGTTCCAACACAAAACTTCTGTAAATTAGAAGCTGGTTTATCCATTGGTTTCGTGGTGACCTGGCAGTGCTGGGGGAATGGTTGGACTCCATGAGCTTAATGGTCTTTTCCAACCAGAACAATTCACGTGCTTGCAAAAAGGAATTTGAGATCCTTAGGAGCAGTGTACCAGTGGGCACTGGGGACACAGCTGGTACAACGAGGGTTCAAACAGGAACCTCAGGTAAACCTTATCTCACAGAAATTTCAGTATTAGCCTGTGCTATGTCAGTTGTATAGAATTAAAACTGAAAAATGCATCTCATCATTAAGAACTGGAAACCAAACCCTACTCGAGCAAAGCAGAGGGTCCTAAATCAAGGGAGGACCCCGATGCAAACCAAAACCAAACGTTTTGAGATTCATAAACCAAAAGCAAACTCTGTTCCCAGCTTTACTCAGCTCTGAATTTGAAAGCACACTCCATCTACTTTGACACAAAGAGCACAGAGAAGCAGTTACATCCCAGCTTACTTTGTCAACACCCATTCGTTTAAAACCTGCTTGTAGAACCTTGAAGTTTTGAATGTACTCGTGTTCCAATTTTGCTTGAAACTTCACTTTCTTGAGTGCTACAGAGCCTGGGAACAGCATGTCCATAAACTGACAGTACGCAGCACCTGCCGAAAGAAGAACACCACAAAACCCAGGATGAATCCAGTCAGCTCACCAGCCCATGGAGGTACTTCTCAGTCAGACCAGCAGACTGGCCCAGCTCACTCCTCAGCTCCACAACCCCCTAACAGCAACAAGCCCAAGAAAACAGGAACCTTCAGTCTCCTCTTTTGGTGCAGCGTGGCTGTAAAGAAGCTCAGGAGCTGCAAAACCAAACTTCTGCTCTCCTGACGTGAACTCTCATGAACAAGAGCAATCCTGCCTCCATAATTCCACGAGGAAAAAAATATCCCATGAGTGATTGGCCTTTCCTTTCTTCATGGATATCAGCATGGATCAGAGAGGTTGCACATGTCTGGCAGGCACACAACCACCTCTTATCAATGCTAACAGAAGTAAACCAGAAACAGAATTATTCTGGAATTATTTAATCATTACCAACATAGCGATATATTTACAAAAGAGCAATCCTGCCTCCATAATTCCATGAGGAAAAAAATATCCCATGAGTAATTGGCCTTTCCTTTCTTCATGGATATCAGCATGGATCAGAGAGGTTGCACATGTCTGGCAGGCACACAACCACCTCTTATCAATGCTAACAGAAGTAAACCAGAAACAGAATTATTCTGGAAGTTTTATTTAATCATTATCAACATGGCGATACATTTACAAACAGCAACTATGTGCAGTTCAAGGTGCCCTCAAAGGTGCCAAATTAAGATGGATTATATTTAAATCGAGCTTTAGTTGAAGAACTGGAACAGGGTAGTGTTCCTTTATTAATTTTAAATCCTTTGTGTCCTTCAATTCATCTCCTGCTTATCAGAACAGCAAAAGAGGGACTCAGTGCAGCCACAAAGAGCAGACAACCACCTCCAAAAAATTAACTCTGTAGAACATCCACACCCAATTTTAAAAGACCTTTTTATGCAATATCCTCACTCTGCAGTGACACACAGCCACGGGCCACCAAAAACACCAGTGCCACGCTCTCAGCAGTACCCCCCACCCAGCACCAGGGAACTGAGTGCACACAGAATAATGGGAGCCTTACCCTGGGACACCACACAGCTACGTGACAAGCTGTGGTGAGCTCACAGCCAGGAGGCAATGACACACCACGGTGCTGCCCTGAACCACTCTCATCTCAGCCACAGGTCACAAAGTCCTGTGTCGTTCACTTCCCATCCAGGCATCCTGCTGGTCTTTTGGGGCTCCCACTTTCACCTGCTACCAGAAGATTGCTATCCATACACTGGTCCAAATAAAAGAAATCTTGCTGTTTGATCTCCACTGTCTTTCAGTTCACTCACCAAGGAACTCCCAACTCAAACCCGGATGACCTGCCAGGAACCAGGAGTTTGGTAACTGTGGGCAGTCCCAGCACTAACCACGATACAGGAAGAGATGACAGCACAGCCAAAGGTCAGCCCTGCATGGGCACAACCCAGGCAGCGTGTCACCCCTGCCCTCGCCAGGGCAGCACAGCAGCCTTGGGCAGCTCTGTCCCACCCGTGCCTGGTAGGGCCTGGGGGCCGGGACAGGGCCAGAGCACAGGGACAGCTCAGCCTGTGCCCTGCCCAGCCAGCACCCCCAAACCAGCTCCTCCAGAGAACCACAGCACTCGGGGGGCCCCTCGCTCCAGCACGACAGCTCTGCAGGTCCCTCACCCTGCCTCCCTCCTTCATCTCACCAGACAAAAGCCACCACGAATACCTGCCAGGTGTCTATTTTAAGTCCTCTGTTTCTCTATAATCTTGGTGAGCGTTTCCCGGACAGACTCAGCCACAGGCTATACTGCCAGTCCCAAACTCATTTCAAATTCATCCCTCCTCTTATTCCACCTCCAATTTCCACATCTCTCATTCTCTGAGCAACACCTCACCTCAAGCTCACCGGAGGAGCTGCACTTCCACTTTTCACCAAGTCCCTTTCACCTGCCCGCTGCAGTTACCCAGATCACCCTCTTCTACCTACGCTGCACTTTTAGCCTTGGGTTTTTTCAGCTCTTATTCCACAGACTATTTGTCTTTTATTTGTTTCCACAAGCCTCCTCACACACACACACACACGCTCTCCCTGTGATGATACTTGACTCCATTTTGGTGCCACAATCACTTCCCCTTTTCTGCTGAAAACTCTACATGAGACCCAGCTGTGCTGCAGTCAGCTCGAGCTGGGCTGAGGGACGGACATGCCCCTTTGCCACACGGAGCTGTAAGCCCTGAAGGTGAACCCAAGAGTCACCAGTTCACCCTCCTTGCACTGCTCCTTCTGCCCAGCCTCTGGCATCTCCCAGCAGATGACACATTTATGCTCGTTACTCCACTTGTAAGACTTACTGTAGCCATCAAGACTAAACACTCAATGCCTCACTGTAGAACACTTTCTCCGAGGAGTCTCTGTTCACATTAACCCCCACTCCTCCTTACTCCACCTGTGCTGCAGTGACTCAGAACACACCTTTTCATTACACTGACGTTATTAACAACCACTTCAATACAACTCCAACCATACCCAGGCTAGAATGCTGACCGAGAATCTGCTCACACCAGGAATTACACCAACAGAGCCCACGCAGACGGGTCACAGGGTGCCACCAGGCCTGCCCGGAACCGGGGTGCACACCCAGCCCGGGCCCCCCTCACCTGAGCACAGCTGCTCGATCTTTGTCAGCGTCAGCTGCAGAGACTCGTTGATCCACGCCAGCATGTCATGTCGACTCAAGTTGTCGCTGGTCACCGAAGTAGAATACACATTCACGGCCATTTTCTGAAAGAGCGAACGAAGGGGGTGAGGGCCACAGGTGCCAGCG